CCCCCCCCTCAATGGCAAGTAAAGAAAGCGCAATTTGATGGTTGGTGGGTGGGTGGGTGGGGAGTGGCCTCGGCAGCGCCAGGGGTGCTGTCAGGGGTCGTCCGGCCACGACTGCGAGACTTTACTGTGAAGAGTGGAGCCATGTGCCGCTGTCTGGACGCTGTCTGGACGCTGTCTGGACGCTGTCTGGACACTGTCTGGACAAGCTCGCGCCACGGGTGCCAGCCGTGCCTCCGCGGGAGCCGCCTCTCGAGCCGCGTCCCGCCGGCACTGTCCCTGAGTGCGTCCCGCCTTGGTTGGCGACACGCACTCGACGAGGGCAGTCCAGCCGACGGGAACGTGTCGCGCGCCGGCGACGAATGCGGCGGGGTGGGTGTGGGTACCGAGCGCCGCTTCGGCGAAGCGAGGTTGGCAGGCGCCCCTCACGAGTCCGTTCAGACATGCCACACGCCCCTCGCAAGCGAGGTTAGTAGGCGCCCCTGGCGAGACCCGCAAGAGATGCACACACACACACACACGTAGAGGGAGCCGTGTAGCCCTCCTCGACCGTGAACCCTGGCCAAAACTTGCCGGCACCGGCGCCCGCGAGAAGGCGCCCAGGTCACTTCAATATTACTGGGTGCAGTCACAGTCTTACCGTGCTGGGGGCGTGCAGAGAAGCGCGCCCCCCTCCCTGGAAGCGATGTCCGCCTGCTCAAGAAGGCAGAGACACAGCGTCTGCCAGACGCGTGCTACGACGTCAGGCCAGCTTCCTCGAAGCAGCGTGGCCACAACTGACTGCAACCGACTGTCTTCATGTGTCTAGACTCTACCGGTACCGCGGTGCGCTCTCCGCGCACATAGGTGCCAGCGCGCTCCGCGCGGTATCTAGCCAGCGCACTCCGCGCGCGTGTGTCTAGCTAGCGCGCTCCGCGCGTGTGTCAAGCTAGCGCGCTCCGCGCGTGTGTCCCGGGTAGCACCAACGCGCTCCGCGCGCACGATAATCCAGTGCCTACACTTGTATAGGCACTGAAACGTGAAAGCTTGTTACTGCCAACTTGGGGGCCGCAGACTCGTATGCCATGCGCGCCAAGCCCATCCCCATATTCAAGAACAAGATTACAATGAGTAACTCAACTCATCCTTTGGCAGCTTGTATTGTTGAGTATGAGTAGTCATGACGTCTGGTAAGTGGTATCCATGAATATGAATGGACAGGCAGACAGAGGACAAAACAAAACCGTACAGACAAAACAAAACCGTACTTTTCGAGGCGGGAATCGCCTCCACGTACTTCGTGGCGCACCGACGGCGCTCGTAGCCTGGACAAGAGAGTACAACCCCTACAGGGCCTAGAGGAACACACCCCGCACCTTTTTGCCGTGACCTCCCGTCAGACGGTCGCCTCCGCCGCAGTGAGCGGCGAGCAAGCCCAGAGCAGCGCCCGCCGCCGCGAACTCACCTGCGGCAGCAGCCCGTTGACGGCCGCGGCGAGCAGGCAGCAGCCGCAGCAGCAGGGCCCCACCCATGCGTGCGTGACGGCGGTGTGCTCGAGCGAGCCTGCGCATGGCACGGACGAGGGCGGGTGAAGCGGCCACCCTCCACGCCGCCGCAGGAAACGCTTGTTATGATGGCGTCAGCATGATAAGCCGAGATCAGCCGAGACTAGCCGAGATAGCGCGCGCGCGCGCGCGCGCCTGGCTCCGTGCGGCCGAGGCGGCTCGCACCCTCCTCCACGCGCCGCCACGCCTCCGGCTCTCGCCTGCCAAAAGGCCACCAGAGTGCGCCCAGAGTGCGGCCGAGGTGCGGCCGAGGTGCGGCCGAGGTGCGGCCGAGGTGCGGCCGAGGTGCGGCCGAGGTGCGGCCGAGGTGCGGCCGAGGGCCGCGCCTGCGCAGCCGGTCCGCCGACGCCTTGAGAGCGACAAAGCCGACCGCCCAGCAAAGCAGGAGGGCCGGGCCGGCGATGACGAGGAGGAGGAGCCAGCTCAGCTCGACGGGTGGAGCCGACGCCGTCGCTCAGATCGAGCTCGAAATCGAG